GATGTGCGTAGACTTCGGATTGATACTTACCAGCATTGGTGTGTTATTCCATTTTTCATAAATTTTTCCAACAAAAACAGCTGCCCCATACACAACGCATATAAAAGATACTGCGAAAAATATCCTGTATCGAACATAAAATATATAATATTTTTCTTAAAACATTTCTAAATGCCTGTGTAAGACTAATATTCAAAAAATTAGAAAAAAAAGTATTAATCAATTTGAGCTTAAGCTCGTTTAAACTATCCCAGTAAGCATTTTACTGCAAATACCATTGATTTGAATGGAAGCCGAAATAAATTTTTTAATTTTATTTTTCAAGCATTTTTTAGAAAATGTCTCTTTTAAATTTTTTAAAGAGCTAACGATAAGGCTCTCCGCATCAACGTCTCAGTTGGTCCATCCTTTCAGTCCAATTTTCGATGATCTCTTCAAGTATTTCTACTGGTAACTCGATAACGGTTGCCATTGACGATTACGTTCTCAACGGTATCACATTTGAAGAAATATGGAGCGATTCCATTGGCCCACAAACCAAACCGTTTTCCTTTTCGCTCTAAACGTGGCAATTTTGCTTGTTTATATACCCATTGAACATTATTTGGCTCGAAAATGTCGGTTTTTCTTGGAACTTTTCAAGAGACCATAGAGCTAAATGATGTCGCTTGTGAAGGTCTAGCGGCTTCAGTTCATGCACAAACTGTATTTTGTACGCTTTCATTTTAAGATCTCGACGTATAATGCGACAAGTCGTTCCATATGTCAGTCCAAGTTGCAACGAACGGCGCGAAATCGATTCTCCACGGCCTTCGTTAACACTCTCAGCAACAATACTACATTTTTTACACTGCGGGCTGGACATGGTCTATTCGATCGAATATTATCCAGTAATGAATACTGAGTATCAAGATGGCTGTTGGTGTTGTGAAAAGTACGCTCAGTAGGCCGATTATGTTGACCATAAGTTGAGCGAAGCGCACGAAACACATTCTTTAAACGTTGTTCAGGCGTAAGTCTTTCCATGATGAAGTGCCAAACAATACTGAACAAAAAAAACAGATTGACGCGACTCATGCGTGGTCTCTCAGAAAAGGCAATGGAAAACAGTTCCTCTACTTGGGTCACCCGTTACATATATCGTCTTGCTTTATTAATTATAAATTGATTTCTACTACTTACCTCTCAATCGGATGTAGACTCTTATTCACCACGTATTTCAATCCATGTATAGAAGTATTATCACAATAGCCTTTGAAATTCTCGAAAATAACCGTTTTGATTTGTTGCAGTTTTCTTTTTTGTAAAAGCTTTTTCGTTACGCCATATCTTTTCATAGAAATAACCTGTGTGGGTGCCAGGCTTTGTACTTTCTTCGAAGGATCCATTTCAAATGACTGCAATGCGAAGCGCAAATTTCCAATGAACGTGGAATGAATGATATGTGTGTGTGTGTTAATACAGTTATTTATTGATTTAAACAAATAACTTCTCAATTGTGCACTATAATAAAGCCACTAAAGAAAATATTTTCCAATCAAAGTGGTGGGAAATATATCTATGAACCAGATAATTATGTTAATAATTATTTCAATAAATTGATTTATTTGCATTACTTTATGAAAACAAATTGAAAGCAAAGTATTAATACACATATTTATTTACTTCCATTAGGAAAGATATATTTCTCTGCAATAATTTATGGTTCCGTTCCCTCCTCGTATGCCACTTCACTCTCCGATCTGCCCTCTTCTCTTAAAAAAATTTCTTCTTTTTCATTGGCGTGTGCGCCACTCAACAATAGCACGTCATTAGGTTATTTTCTGTGAATTTCGGCACGAGTTGAAAATACCAAGTGAAACCAGGATGCACTCCACCTGATCCTACCAACAGAGTGAAGGTTTTCCTCTTCCTCTGCTTATTCCGTGGGGTACTGTTAAGAGCTATTCTGCCTTGGATTTCAAGGCTGTTATTATTGTTGGTGTTTAGACCTCGAAGTTGTTACTGTCAAAAGTGACGTGGGAGCCAATCAGTAAAGGCGCCGACTTCTTTTTTGTTCACAAGAGTTATTTCGTCTTATCTTCGTACACTACCAAACCCATTTGATTCGCTGCTTTGTTATTCAGCGTCAGTTTACGGCATTAAGACATATCGACGGAGAGGCTGCTCTTTACCGTACTGTCGAAGGAAGCCTCAAAATCAATGAAAAGACGATGTGTATCGATTATGTTCTCACAAGTCCTTTCCAATATTTTTCTGTCAATGGGGGATTTAGCAGGGATAAAACCACACTGATGAGGCCTTATAAGTTATTTGACGCATGCAGATAGCTTAGCCCCATTCGAACCTTATCGTTGTCGGATAATGGAAAGTCTTTTCAATCATCGTCTATTCGGGTCTCAGGTGTTGTATTTTCATAGAATTTTCGGAAGTTAGCCTTGTCGGCCAGCTTCTCAAGCTCATCATACTAATGCATTTTGGCATCTTTCAGCAAAATAATGATGGATTTTTGTAGATGAGAAGACCGTATTATACACATTTCAGATATTTGGATTGGTAAACTTAGTATGAATAAAGGATTTTCAAACAAGACGTGTTATTTTGAATAGCCTTCCTCCGGTAGAAAAATGGAACGTCACACACTTGAACAACGCATTGGAGGGATTAAAATTCACTTCAAACTAACTTTTTAAATAAAGAAGAGCTTGACCGATGTCAATTAGCAAAACGGACAATCGCATCTGGGGCTCAAAACCCCCTAGATTTATCCCTGTCTACATAACCTTTGTGGATCTTATTTTCGTTTCTTACATATCCTTTCCAAAATTATCATAAGGAAATTGATCATTGCCTTATGTTACCCATATTTAGCAGGACTATTTGCTGATAGATCCCAATAAAAGTTGGTTATGGTGTTATTGAATCTTACGCTTTTTCCCAAGCCCCGGCTCCAAATGCTTAAATATATGATGCTTCAATTCCTTACAGTCGCAATTTCGAATATCTCAATCGCTTTTATTCGTTTCCTCATATTGTTGCAGTTAATAAAAGAATAATTACGGTGCTCGTAAATTGTTTATTTATTTGTGCAATATAATTTTGTTTAATAAATACATATTAAAAATACATTAAACATAAATTTTAAAAATTTTTAAGGTGTATATTCCATACCAAGTTGCCATGGGATATTAGGTTTTTGTGGCAGACCCTCTCCTTTCGAATGAAAAATATCTGTGTGGTTTTTACCTTTTAAATAACTATCAACAGCTTCTATCTGTTCACTTGAATTCAGTTGGTTGGATGGTTTCGAAAGTTTTTCAAATGGCCTCAACTTTTTGGAAATCCCTTTTTTTATGTCTCGTTTTGACCAAGATTTAACAATCAGCACCCGAATCGGCTTCAAAAGAAAATAGAATATGAATTCCGCTAAGAACATGAAACTAAAGCCAAAGAATAGTCCAAGGATTCCACCAATATTTGCTGAAATAAAAATTGCAAAGGAAAGATTTTTTTAAGTAAGAACTCCCGATAAGTTTGCTCTTCAGTTTGAAATTACATAAAAAATCCGTTATTCCAATATATTCCGCCTGTTTGCTGCTTCTGTACGCGACATCCTTGAAGTAAATATTTACTACTGCAACATTTTTCTCTACGTAGGCACTACTCATATTCTTAATGCCTTGGTTAATGACTTGAAATCCTGAATGTGATAACGGTATTGTGAAGAAATCCGGTAGGTAAGTCAAATCATAGCAACCGCGCAGGCAGACTTCGGGACAACCCTTGCCATTATTTGAAGCCATCGATTGCAGGTGTATACGCATCACGCAGGACATCTCGTAAATACCACATTGGTTTTGGTTCTCCAAAAATAAGGGCACAAAATGTGTTACGCAACCACAATATTTCAACAGCATTTTCGCCAAACACTCCACCTCACAATTGCGTTGTGTATAAAATCTATAGTACTCTAAAGGTTTTTCATCGGCGAAGAGACATCTCCGCGACATTTTACTCATTGAACGCAAGCCCTGTTCCGAATCGGTTTTAACAGCTCTTATTCGGACTTTTGTCTCACGACCGGGCGTCAGTGGCAAACCGATTTCCCGCATGTTAGGCACCTCAAGAGGATTATGTAATAGTATCTTGAAACCAACGCTACTCGCAGATGAACAGTAATAATTATCAGCTTGCACATCCAGTGTTACGGACAAGCCCAATGTTTCGCCCGTGCCAATTGCAGGCATAGGACTATAACTTCGAGGCAAATTTTTCTGGTAACCGTTCTCTGGACTCCATTCAACGTGCTCAGTGCCCTTCGGTGTTTGAGCTGTGCAGTTAGCACACTCTGAGTTTCTGCATATATTTTTGTCATATAAGTAAACAATTAAAATAAATACATTCTTTAATTAACCTTCTGAACAAGAACTTTCCATGAACCATATTAAAAGCACAACATGAACCGCTGTTGGTTATAACGGGCTGGTAAATTTCAGTACATTTGTACTTAACTCCACCGTATTTGCAGCTGATCAGCATTTCACTACATGTCTGCGAGATCTACTTTAAAAAGGAAATGTTATTAGCGTAACTCATGACTTCAAGGCTTTCGAATAGTTAACACCTGTTTGTATGTATATGACCTTTTTCATACAGTAAAAAGCCCCTCATNTATAGATTTGTGAACTTGTACGTGCGTGTATGTGTATAATTATGTATAATATATTGCAGGCGTTAGCACAAAAATAATAACAATTCAAAGCTCACATTTTGGTAAGTAACAATATGTATAAATATATATATATATAATATAATATATGTCCATTAAACCAAAAGTGGTATGTAAATGTTGCCAATGACAAAATTGACTTAATTGCTACACATACATAAGTTTGATAGAGTGAAGAAGTTAAATTCGAACTTCATACGCAAACTCGTATATGTATGTACATCCTTACATATATATAAATAGTATATACGAGAATCTCAAGAGTGTTTTTATTATTATATTGTTTTAAGCAATTTTCTTGACCACTATTATTTACGGCATTTGTATGTATGTTTCGTATGCATTTCGGAAAAACTAAATAATTTAATGCCATTCCATTCCTCCTCATCCTTCTGTATCTATTTTCTAATTTCGTTTTCATTTTCCAACTTCTCCGTGATACTTTCAATGACATTTTTGAACAGTCGCTTGTAACCGGACTTTTGCTTCACTGCCCTATTGGCCCTGCCGCGAATCGCTCGTAGTCGTAGGTATTTCCGCAAACGCTTATAACGTTGAACTGTGGCCATTTGTGGGCACACAGTCGTTTTATTACACATCCACGTTTCCGCAATATCCGGCTTCTTTGAGAACCGGAAGTGCAACAGAGTGCGTATGGGATGTATAACGGCATAGTAAACCAATTCGACAATCGAGATGAAGCTGAAACCCAAAAATAGACCCATAAGACCGCCAACAGCAGCTGCAGGTACAAATTAAATTATATAAAAGGCAATTTACATATATATATACATACATAGATACATATTTATATTGTACAAGGTTTTCCAATAAGAGGTGTTCATTTGATATTCCAAGAGACTGGTAATTTTTTTAAATAAATTATCGGATATTTATTTCAATGTAAAGAGGAAGAAGCCTATCAGCCAAATGGCCGAGATGGCTACGCTTATAGGACCGTATCATAAAGCGGAAGCTTTATGTCTACAATAGCTTCATGAATTCCATCTTTGAGATCTGGAATCGCCTGTTGGCGTAGACCTTATATTTCATATGGCCCCAAAGAGAGAAGACGCAAGGTGTTAAAAAGCTATCTTGCTGAAAGTAAACCATCCAATTGCGTCCCTAAAAAATTTTTAATAATTTCTTGATAGGCCAAACCATTAATCATAAGAGTTGCTCCAGTCTCATTCTCGAAGAAGTAAGGTCCAATGACTCCGTCTGACTATAAACCACACCAAACAGTTACGCGTTCAGGATAGAGAAGCTTTTCAACAAAAAATCTTGGGTTTTCCGAGCCCAAAATCAACAGTTTCGCTTGTTGACGTCACCATCGAAGCGGAAGTGAGCCTCATCAACCAAGATGATTTTCGATGAAATTCCGGATCATTTTCATGCGTTTCAAGGACTCAATCATCAAAGACACGACCTTTTTTATGATCGTCTGGATTGATGTCTTGTGTTAACCGAACTTTTTAAGTTTTAAGACCGAAGTCTTAATACAAAATATGACGTAATGATGTTTCTCAGTTGTTCTTGAGCACGTAATGATGTTTCTCAGTTGTTCTTGAGCAACATTCACGTACCTTACTCTTCACACCACTAACTTGTACCAACAGCTTCACTTTCTCCATCAATTTCTGTATTGCGGTCCAACAAGGTGCTTCACGACGATCGAAAAAGGTTTTAGTTTTAGAATCCGCCAAGTTTCCAACATTTCTATAGTGATTTTCAATCATTTTAATGCGTCGCGTGTATTGTTCCATTTTTATGACTGGCTTACCCCTTGAAAAGTGGCATCTACAGGAATAGCAGGCTATTCTTAACAACACCTCTCATTGGAAAACCCTTTATATATTGTGCACATATTCGTTACATTCTTACACAAAAAGTCTGTTGTGCCAATGAATTCCGTTTGAATGCTGCTACGAAAAGAATACTCCTTAAAGTACATATTGAGCACAGCAATATTCTTCCTGGCGTATGTCTTGTTGTAACGCTGCACCCTCTTGTTTTCTATGAAAAACCCATCAGTCGATAGTGGTATAGCGAAGACATCTACAAGGAAGGTCAAGTCATAGCAAGTTGGCCAACAAGCGTCTAAGCACGAACCGATAGTCGGATCTTTCCGTAAACGCACCATCTCCACACAGTGCGTTGCTCGCGTGCTACAAATCGTTGCATTTTTATAAATTTTCGGCATATAGAAGCTTATACATCCGCAGTGTTGTAATAACATTTCAGCAATGCACTCCATCTCACAATTACGTTGTGTGTAATGGGCGAAGTACAGTAACTTTCTTTCATCGTGAAATAGACATCGTCTATATTTGGTATCCACGGAGCGTAGCCTTTCCGTGGTCTCCGTCTTATCGGGACGCACACGCACTTTGGTCTCCTTGCCGGGTGCGATCAAAACGCCTGTCTCATGTACATTTGGCGATTCATTCGGGCTGTGTAGGGAAATTTTGAATCCAACACTATTCGTTGATGAGCAATAGTACTTGTCGGCTTCCACGTCAAGCGTGATGGAGAGACCGAGTGACTCGCCAGTGCCAGCTATGCGACGTGGATAGTAATTATTTGGTAATTCAGTTGGATAGCCACGCTCAGCATACCAATCAATTGGTTGATGCTCACTTTCTGGTATATTGCGCATGCTGAGAGGTATGCTGTGAAATATATAAAAGAACGGAAATTTCAATTACAGTTGTAATCGCTTGAAATAAACAAAGTGTCATACTGTGAAATGAACATAAATTTTGGATGCACCATGTTAAATACGCAGCATAGTCCCTCGTCAGTTATTATCGGAATAAAGTGTTTAGTACAATCGTACTCATTGGCCGCAAACCGACAGGCAACCATCATATCCTCGCAGGGCTGCGAAATCTAGAAATGCATATTTTGCGTAAATTGCCCACATTTTAAAAGTAAACATTAGATTTTTATAGCTTACATTCATAATAATACTCTCCAGATTATTCCAATTCGAGTTAAATGTATTATTCTCCTCAGTGGTCTCATTTTTACACAACAGCTTTAGCATAGCTCTTTGTTTCGAGCTTCTAAGGAACAAGGCACAAAAAACTAAGTATTTTTAGCAATTTTTTCTAAAAGATACTTATATTATTTTAACATAGAAAACATGTACATAAGTATTTTTAGCCGTACATTAAAACAAACTAAAAGTAAATAGGGATATGCTTAAGAATGATAAAACAGGTATATAACAAAACAATTACGATGCGGTCTTGGTAACGGTAAATTGCATGCTAATCGAAAAAATTTCTGTCCTTTCGGTTAAACCATTTGGAAATATTAACGTCAAAGCAGTTATCAAAATAAAATTATTTTCGTTCTTATCCGAATCCAAAAGCTGTCGTTAATTTTAAATCGTTAACAGATAATGTTAATAGTTAACAGTGAAGTGTGCTGTTGCTGCACGGTTTCAAGCTTCGTATGGCCTAAGATTATATCTCATTTCACAAATTAGTTATTTACTCAATAATAATAATTTGGAGCTTTGTAGCCGGTGAAGTGATTTTCAGCGGAACTACTTCTCCGGCCGCTAAAGCTTTTTTATTAGGAGATCTTATTGCTTTTCAGATCGCCGTTCTCGGCAGATATTAGAAAACTTAATTTTTAATGTTAGTCGTACTAGGGCTCAGACACTGGCGTTATAATTTATTTCAATTATCCAATTCGTCTTTGGTCAGCATCGAGTGTCGGATCGGTTCAATTTGCAGTACAGCACGAAACTTTGGTGCCAACACGGTGCTTATCCCAAATTACTTTTAATACTTAACAAGCAAAAACCGACCAAACATGACTAAATTGAAGACACTGCACATTTAACTAAATTACTTCATAATTACCTCTTTTCCATTTCTCAAATAGTCTTGTATATATAATAACAATGTAAATAATATATAATAATCTTAGCTATTCCTTAAATAAATAAATTTTATGGGAGAAAAACTTTCTTAGTTTCTTTACCCTACATTTTCTTTACTTACTTATTCGCTTCGATTGCCTTGGATTTCAGTGCTTGGTTTAAATTGCAAATGGTTACAGCTGGGAAGGGTATATTTGTAATGAAATTCGGTTTCGGGTTAATTCCAACAATAACCGGATTAGTAGCCCATTTGTCATAAACTTTCATTATATAGAAAATCGATATGATGCAGACAACTACAACTGATATAATGAAGAATGCACTAGGGGTTAAAAATGAAAATATAATCATTAATATATTGTTACCAAAATAATTACAGAGAAAAACAATTTTTGGTGCTATCACATATATTATATGCCCCGATGGCATATCCGCCCTGATGGCATACCTGCCTCCTAAATATTTTTAATATTTTTAATTTCTATCTGAAAAGAAACCTATTTCCAGAAATGTGGAAAAGACAGCAGCTCGTGCTCATTAATAAGGGGAAAGGGTACAGTCCATCGACATTCCGCCCTCTCTGCATGCTGGACACTGCTGGAAAGCTTCTGGAAAGTCTACTAAAACCGAAAGAGGAAGCAGCTAGTGCTGGAGGGCTTTCAAAAAACTATACGGTTTTAGACCCAGCAGATCAACACTGGGAGCAATCGAGAATGTAGCTAAAACTGTTGAACAGGCTCAACAAGGGTGTCACAAGTCATAGTCCTACTAGCCAAATTGAACGTTCGAAATGCCTTCCAGAATATGATCGAAGACTTAGAAAATAAATTCTCCATCCTCCGGTATCTTAAACTAATGATAAGGAGACAGAATCTTACTCTACCGAACTACCGACGGGCAGCGAAAATACAAGGTGACGGCAGGAGCAGCGCAGGGCTCTATGCTCGGGTCAGACCTCTGGAACGTCAGATACGATGGCATATAAGACCTTGAAATGCCTGATAGCACATATCTCGTGGGATATGCTGACGGCATTGCTGTTATAATCACCGCGCGCGATACGGAAGACACACGCAGGAAGTTAAATCAAGTAAGTAAGAAAATGTGGCTTGACCGACGCGGTCTCAAACTCACAACAGAAAAAGCCAAGTTATTGCTATTAACGGAGAAACACATACCTCTGGAAATAGACATGCATACAATCGCGGTACACTGAGTTCAAGAAGAGTTGTTAACTATCTGGGCGTAAAACTAGACCCTTTATTGACCTACTGGGCACAAATCCAGCATGCCGCAGTCAAAGTCTCTAAAGTCACTTCTCAGCTTAGTAGACTAATGACTAACATAGGAGGTGCAGCTCAAGATAAAAGGAACCTTATCATGGCGGCAACCCTTAACATCTTACTGTATTGAGCCGAGCTATGGGCGGGCTCACTTAAGAAGAATAATAGGCAAATGGTATGGCCAATTAGTTATATAGGACTACAGCAGGCTTATATTTGTAGTAGGGCATCTCTTCTCTTAATAATTTAGTACGTTTAGCAAGACGCTGATGGATAATTTTTGTCACGTTGTTATGCCGCGTCAAGTATTCAGTAGCCGCTAACATAATGCACGCCCCTGTGATATGCTGTATAGTTTCTGTTTGTGGTTGGCACTTTCTACATCTGTCGTTGTCGATTTATTTGCGAGCAATATACTTTAAATAGTTTTTTGTTGCAATTACATGGTCTTGAATTGCAAACATTAGTCCTTCTGGTTCTAAGAAATTACCCGCCTTTAGCAACCATAGGTTTGAGTCACAAGTGTCGATCTCAAGTTGACTCGGTATATGTGGTTGCCTGCCATGTAATGTTTTTATCTTCCAGTTATTTAGCAATTTTTCTGTATACATTGCTTTTATTTTTTCGTCAAGCTGCATGTTTCTGCGATTCAAAGGTGTATATCTCTCGACGAAAATTTGAAACTTGTTTTACGCAGAGATGCATGACATCAATAAGTCCACGTCCGCCTAAGCTTCGAGTCAAGTTAATTGGCTCGATTGCTGATTTAGGGTGACGAGCAGCGTACTTCGTTAGAATTGTTCGTGTTGCTCTTTTCACGTCTTCCAGTTCCGCATCGGAACATTTTACTATACCAAAACTATATATCCGCATCATAACATTATGATTAATTCTTCTAGTTTGCATAATACCCAGCTGTTTGCAGGTTACGTCAGTGTTCAAACCTTCTATATATGCGCTGTCTGTTAATGGGAAATTTCGTGATACCACTTTCCACGCTGAGTGTTTAGCACTTGTCTAGCACAAAGGACATGCACATATCTTTGCAAAATTCCTCCGTTATTTGCAATAGCTAATTAATATTGCGTTCAGATCCTGCGTACAGCTTTATGTCGTCCATATAGAAAAGGTAAGAGAACTTAAAGAGCTTTGGTTCTATTTTTTTTATTTTGAACCCAACTTTGGATGAATTAAGGGCAAGGCAAAATCACAAAGAGCTTAAGCTGTCCCAATGAAAAATGCTATTATTATTATTATTGTAATTATTATTGTTATTATTATTATTATTATAATTATTGTTATTATTGTTATTATTATTATTATTATTATTATTATTATTATTATTATTATTATTATTATTATTATTATTATTATTATTATTAGTACTCTTATTATTATTATTATTATTATTATTGTTATTATTGTTATTATTATTATTATTATTATTATTATTATTATTATTATTATTATTATTATTATTACAAAATTATTATTATTGTTATTATTATTATTATTAGTAATATTATTATAAAAATTAATTAATTAAAAAACAAATATTAATTATTCGATATAGGCGGCTAAGAGATGAATAACTAAACAATTATATTTATTAATTATCCAAAACAATTCTACGAAATATGAGTTTTCCACATCTTAAAATTTACTTAAAATCATCCTTATACAATCGTGGTCGTCCATCTCCGTGCTATTACAATTAAAAAAAAATGTGTGGTTCATGTATCCCCATACAAACCGTTCGGCTGGATGTAAAGAGCGATTTCTAACGTATTTTAAGCCATGTAGCGTGGTGTTTTTGCAAAATTCATCCGTATTTTCGGCCAAAACCCGGCGAAAGGAATCGTATTTCTTTTGAGTATTTTTAACACTTTCTTTGGTATTCACTGCCCATTTATTGGGACTGGAACGGCGTACACAATTTCCTAAGCAACTTTCCATTTTGATGACAAGCGGTTAACTAAGCCTTTAGCGGGATTAAGAACATTTAAATACACCTGGAAAAAGCTCTTTTCATATTCTTACTCTTCATATTCATATTAGCAATTGCAAATGTCTGATAGCACAATATTGTCAATTATATTAATGTGTTATTTTGAATAATGTTTGTGTGTCATCAATATTATTTCAAAATGGTTATATACTACACACGCATTAAATACAGTGGTGGCCTAATAAAGAATGGTGTGTAAAACTGAAAGGTTTAAATGATATTTTTGAGTAGTTATGTATGTATTGTAGTTGCATTGTTTGGCATTAATGCCTTCTAGTTGCACAATGGACAAGAAGCACTCAAAACACGTGTAGTAGAGAAAAAATTTAAGTCGTGGGCAGCACATATATTAAGTAATTAGGAAAGCTCTACCACCAAAAGAAATGTTGGGGGATCCCGTGTCCCAGATACGACAGCTTTCCCTACTGTCGCAGCCATCGAGTGGGAACTGAGCATTAGCAGTCAAGATGATTTTTCGTTGAAATTCTGGATCATTTTCATGCATTTCAAGGACCCCAACTGCAAAGAGTCGACTTTGTTGATAACGGGCCGACTTGAGTTCTTGCTTTAACTAAACTTTCTAAGCCTTAAGACTGAAGTATTTATGCAAAATACGGTAAAATGCCCAATTCCAAAAAACGACGAGGAATGGACAAACCTGATTTTTCGTCACCACTTTGGGCTACAGCAGCAATATTATTGGTTGTTCTTGAGCAACGTGCACAGTTCCCTTTTTTCCACCAATTTCTGTATTTCTGTTAAACAAGGTGAAACAAAGCGACCGAAAAATATTTTAGTTTTACGAACCATCTCTGTCCGGTTTTCACCATTTTTATAGTGAATTTCAATAAGGTGCGCTTTAAACTTTCCACACGTTTTTCTGGAAAATATATTTCAATTCACCAGTATTTGGAAGTATTGTTTTTATTTTCAATCACAACTTCTTCCTCTTCATTGGCAAAGGCACCACTTACGCGATTACATCCGAATAAATAATAGAGCACTATTCGTTCTTCCTCTTCGTCATTTCGCGCCAGTTTCAAATACCAAGTGAAATCCCTTCTGCACCTTTTCAATTACCTGCTCAATCCAAAGTAGCTGGTCCCTAGATAGACGAAATTATCTTGGACCTCGAAGTTATGACCGTCAAAATAACTTGGTATCCGAGTCGTGAATGCGATGATTGATTTTTTGATAACAAGAAATATTTCGCCTTGTCTTCGTTCAGCACAAGACCCATTCGCTTCACTCCTTTATCAAGTCAAGAGAAAGTAGAACTAACGGCGCCTTGTCTGAAGTCTTCCCATTCTAACACTTGTATAAGTTGCACATGTACTTAACGCAATTCAGCAAGACTCCATTAACACCTTCATGAGCTCTCCTTCTATGTGAATGGTGTTCTCGGAGTCAAACCCCCACCTACAGAAAACGAAGAGCTCGAGCTGCATTGAGCGTCCCACGGAACACTGGCACAACTCAGGTCTGGATATTGTAGCTGGCTAAACTCCCACTTATCCAGACTCGACCCCAACATACCTAACGTATGTCCTGCTGGCAGCGAGTCTTGGCACGACACGAATCATCCCTTGCAAGCACCCAACAACCAGATCTTGTTGTAGTTATTGTAGCGACTAAACCAACTCATCTAATCCCCTTCTGGTCCCTCTAACCCCTCTTGCACGAACCAGCCGAAACAGCTCGTTCGATCTTGAACCTCCCGTTAGATTACCCCGATTACTTGGACTAACTAGCCTGATTCTCAGCGGTGTTTGCAAAACGGTAATACAACAACAACTCAGAGGTATAAGTTTTGCAAGTGTACCAAATTTAGAGAAACCTGTGCTGTCGAGTGCAGCTTTAAAATCGATGAAAAGTGATCGATTACTTTCCTGCGGGTATTTTCCAAGACTTAGCGCTAGGCGAATATCTGGTTAATGGTGGATTTACCAGATCTAAAGCCAGTCTGATACGGTTCAATTACCTTGTTGACGGTGGGTCTTAGCCTTTCAAACAATACGCTGGATAGAACCTTATATGCGATAGTTAGGCCCACAGACCCTGAGGCTCCCTTTATGGATCAGGCACAGGCTTAGATTCCAATCGTCGGGTATTCGCTCGTCTGACCATATTCAGATCCTCACACCCATAATTGAATAACTCAAGCGGTAAGTCATTGGCCTATGTGTTGTTTTTCTATCCGAATGGGTGATCGAGTTCGTCAACTCCGGGTGTTGAACTCTGACTGTCATTTAGCAGGCTGGAGTACTGTTTCCTTCATAAGCTTGGTTCAATTTAAGGCTAGCTTCTCGGAGCATACGTACGTCAAGAGCACCGGAGATATGCCGTCAGTTTAATACAACCTAAACGATTGAGTTGCGACTTTTCCGATCCGGAAACAGTCAAGTAAATTGATGAATTTTCTTATGTGGGTTGGGCTATACTTGTAGATAATCAAGTTTCGGACACCAAAGCAGTCGGTCAGCCTCGCACATCGGGGGTAGTATTTGGCCACATCTATATACGCTCTTTTAAATCACCGCTGTAGCAATCGTCAAAAGGAGCTGCTTTAAAGATAATTAAAAGAACCGTTTCTAATCTGCTTTCGTCTCTTCTGTCAACGTCTACACATGGCCCCCCCCTAACCTTATGTATTAACAAATTATGCAAATTTAATAACACATTTAGTGACAAAATTTTTCGGACTATATTTTCATTACAGACTATCGTAGGTATATATTTGAATATAATACGTATCTGCGTATTCAATTGTTTTTGAATTTGAAGAAATCAACTGGCAAGTCCAAAAGTGGCGTTCCGTCTTCTGGCGCATCACTACTCTTAATGCTCAACGCTTCCACCGCGTTGTCACTCACATGATCATAATGCTGAACTAGAGTTGAGGCTCCAGTGGATTGTACAACTGTTCGCGGTGGATGTAATATATTTGTATCTACCAATTTGGTTATACCATCATGGACAAGATCGCCAACAGCGCGCAAAAGACTTTCTTCAGATGGTGGCAATAACTTACCACCAGCAGATAAATTTAACTTCTGTGCTGCTTCATCAGTTAGTGTGTCATCAAGACTGATTGCCGTGTAGTCTAAGCTGGGAGTGCTAACAGAAACTACTGGCGCAATACTGTGATGCTGCTTCAATTCTTCACCATGCTCTGTATCAATTAAAGGGGTCTCAGCATCCACAGCAGACATATCGAGAGCATACTGACCTTCTGGTATACCCAACACGCGTGATGCACGTGCGCAAATGAAGTGCAGGCCTGAGGTATTCCGTATTAACCGAGAGCTTCGCAATTGCAATTGTTCCACTAAATCATTCAATTCGCTAAGAAACAGGTCGGCTCGTTGATCCTCGTTCAGTGAAGGTTTTTGTAGTTTTAAAGTGAGATAGCGGAAGAGGGTCATATCTGCATCGAATGGATCAGTAGGTGCTTGGTGAGGAGTCTGCTCTAAAATGGATTTATTATCAGCATTTGCAATCATGTGATCGGGATGTTGTACGAAATGTCGTTTCAGACGTCGTCCCAAAAATATTTTCCCACACTTGGGACAAATCGACTCAGGTGGAACTCGCCGTTTGCTCGTATCAGGACAAGGAATAAGCGGGGGTTTTGAGAGCTCGATCTCTTCTGTAGACATCGAAGAAATTTGTATGTTTTTTCGAAAATCTTTGTCTTTTGAATCATTAATTAAATCTTTTACATGGTCTATAACTGACGGTTTATTTAGACTAATGGTGCTTAATTCCGACCTAGGCTTCACAACACGCCCTGATCTAGTATGGACTAGAAGTGTATGAGGATTAGTTTCGAGTTCAGCTATGTTATCTTCTTTTCCGCCTTTCATTGGTTTCGGGTTATTAGAGCACTTCCCTTGTCTTTCATTATCACAATTTTCTAAAAGGCGTTTTGGTGGCCTGCCGACTTTTGGCTTTACGGTTCGGGTTTTATTTTGTGTCGCTGGCGTTAATTGCACACTTTCATTATTGCTAATTAGATTAAATTCCTCAGGTCCTAAAAGACGATATACTTTTTGTTGATTGTTGTTAGTGCATAATCGAGAAACTTCATTTTTTTCCCTAAGATATTGTGAGTTAAATTCCTTTAATTGTCGAAATAAATAAATAGTAATTACCTATTTATAATAATCCGATCCCTTTTTGCTGTTTTGTATATGCTGTAGGCAAATTTCAACAACTTATCGGAAGGAACATTTGCTTTAGACGATTCATTCAATGCACTTCCTATATCTTTGTTTTTTGAGGGGTTTTCAGTTGATAAATCTGATACTCCATGGCCTTCAAACTGGTTTCTTGATACAATTTTCCCATTAGAAGTTTTTGTTGTTACTATAACATTGGTGGCATCTAAGGCAAAACTTTTATTTTTGGTCTTGCTTGAAGAGACTTGTGAATTGCCAATTTTCTTGTATATACCGGGTACCATAAATGGCGCGTTAACTGGCTGTAATTCATTTTGATTAACTGAATATAATGAAAGTTCATCCTCTGGCAAAGTTTGTGCCTCAGTTGCTGTAAGAAACTCACTGTCACAGCAATCTGGAAGGAAATTTAATGTGACGTCTTCGGAATGAGCACGAGTAATTGGAGCAGATGATCGGCACTGCGATTCATTTGGTATTATAACGTTTGGTAAATCAACCCTTGAGTCTGTCTTTACTGAAATATTGTGAAGTTTATTTGTGGAGATTGACAAAGATTTCGACGGAGGGTCTAAGCACTAAAAACATTTAAATAATTTTATTAACACATTAGTATATTTATGAACTATTATTATACCTCATTCTGTTTAAGTAACTGCTCAATCTCCTCAAAAATATTACTCATTTCTTCGCCGGATTTTAAAATTGCTGCAGAACTAACACTCATAGTTTACAGATGTTTAATTAGAATTGTAAACAAACCCCAATAACGTAAAATAATCAATCACGTAAAAAAACACGTCACGTTGCCATATCATTACTTTGGCAAATTAGCCAACGCGCACGGCGAGTTCCCTCCAAATAAAGTGAAGAAACAGATGAAAATGAGAGGCAAATATTTACATCAAGTTCCAGAGCGGGTATATCGTATGTTGGGTTTTGAGGACATTCTAACAGGACCAATAGAAAAACATAGGAAAAATTTTTGGATATGGACTGGTTTGTTGTTTGGAGTATTAAATACAGTAGTAGCAATATTGGTGTAAAATTACGAATAGACTTTCTGCAGGCATTTGCTCCTAACTTATCCGTCTGTCCATCTCCAGCCCGTGCATTAGAAATTTCAGTCACAATGACCCTATTGACTTCCACGTAGGTGACTTGCCTTCCAGTCTTCTGCTGATGCAACTGCCATTGGCGCAGGCGCTTTGCCTAACCATTCCTCCAGTGCTCCCAATCGTATGAATCCGCTACCTCCAATTTTAGTTGATGGCTGCTCCATATCCTTCGCATAATCATTCGCTTCTTTATTCTCTACAGCATTCGAGGATCACTCTTCATTCTCGCTGTGGTTTTCGGGAAAGGTTTAAGTCAGTGCTCTCGGTACCCACAGTTTCTCAGTATCCTTAGGGGCGGTATGGTCATATCGTGAATAGTGATAATATTTAAATTTTTATTCTGCTGGGCTTAAGTAACAATCTCACTTCTGATACCAATTGCTAACATTTTGCCAATGAAGCCTTGATGATTACCTAATTCTTTAGAATTCGATCACTGTACTGGTAAATAAAAGTCACCAAATTTGTTGTTGTAAAATTTCTTTTAAGACTTTAATCAACTACTATTTATTGCTTAATAAATAACAACGATTAGATTTACAATTCTCACACTCTACTATCAACTTTTTACCTTACTCTGTTATGTTGCGCGCTGGCCTTATATACCTCACCGATTGCTCGTACCCATCTCTTGGAATTTCTTACTATTTGTTACCGTAATAAGCGCTCTAGACATGCTTTAGTTTTCCTACTCTACTCACATTCGCATTGGGAATTTTCGCCGCAGTACGTATGTGTATCTTGTAGTTATGCTCTTGTTGTAGGGAATTCGCTTTGAGAAGAGGCAAACTATAATTTTTGCAAACACAAAATATAAATAACAATACATAGCAAGGTTGAAAAAAACTTAAGCACACAGGTAAACATAAGAACTATGAGACCAAGATACACCAGATTAAGTTTGTGCGAATTGCTTGCGTCGAAGAATTTGAAAAAATAAAACAGCAAAAGATCAAGTTGATATTAAAGTTAGTCTTGAATTCATAGAAATTATAAACTCGGTTAAATAATCGATCCAATTGGGAGTCAAACGAAAAAAGAAGAATATGAAAACAAAGTAAACTGCGTCATATGGGACACTGAGTGAAAATTTAATTTCAAGTCAATGTTTCCAGTTTTAAATGAGTGGAGCCCAAATCAAAAGTCGAAAAATTGAATTATTCACATTCTTTAAAAATTTGAAGCTAATAAGCAGAAGGTCACAGATTGACTATATAAAGTGCATTCAGAAGCAAAAACGTAACAATAAAATTGGAACGCAAAACGAATGACATATTCACACATATATATGTGCATACTTAATCATTCATTGGTGGTTAATAAAAGGTTTTCGTATATTTATTAGGGTAAATTTTTCTTAGAGAATTTTTAAAGCTAATTCAAAGCAATGAAGAAAACGTAATATGGAAAATAATTCTGCTTTATATTATCTGTGACTTTGTGCTTTCGAAATAAGTCAACATCAGCTTTGGGTTCGCATCGGACAAACATCTAAATCAAAGTTGAACCTGCATGTAGCCGAGTTTTGCAGATTTAAGAATTGTAGTAACAGGTAAGCTTTATTTGCGTTTCACAGCATCAAAGATAATCCCTCCATCTATGATTTTGTGGAGAGGCATGTCCTCAAAATCTGCTCAGTCTAACATCAAAAATTATAGAAAAAAGTTTTTAAACCGTTGTTTCGAAGTATGTGACTGCTAGTAATGAAAGCAAAAGATCATCGTGGAGGCCCAGATACGAGTACGAGTATGCCATTCTCAGGAAGGACAGCTTTGACACAGTCTGTTCGTCGTCTTGTCCAGCGGTTCTTGTAAGTAGTACGAACCAATATTGACACCAAAAGTCTTCGAAATGGAAGCACTATATAATATAGCGCCCGTACAAACGATTTGTAAAGATGTGAAAATTAATATTTTGAGCACGAGTCTTAAGACATGCCGCCCCCGAATGGATGATGAAATGGATTTTTATAAGGAACCTTGATTTCGCATCACAAATATATTCGGAAACTATAGAAAACTAGATACCCCTACATTGTACCCTCAGCTTCTAGGCTAATCGAGATTCAGTTAGCAATATTTTCGTCCTGTACATAAATAATTTGTTAAAACAGTAAATTGACATGACTTGTAAAACAGACTATCAGGCCTATTCTGTCGAGGTAACAAAATTTACTTTGGTATTAAAATTTACCATTCAGTAAATTTTGTTACTATTTCGTATTCTAAGTTCACTGTCACCCTGCAAATTTTGTTACCAGCGAAATAAGAAGTAACAAAAAATCTACTGTTTTGCGTTTAGTTTGAGAAAAAATAAAAACCTAAATGCGAAGACATGTGTATAATATTTGAGGCCTAGAGTTCATTAAAGATGAAGAAAAAAGTGTAAAGGGGCAAAAATGACGTACCAAAATTGGAAGATAACGTTTTCATTCAGCTTTTTTTTTGTCGTTTAGGCAAATTTTCCGAAATTAAGTTCAAACATTTATGGTTTAATAAACAAATAAATAAAACTTATATATTTTGTTGTGTTCATCTTCCATTTCGAAGTGAGTATTCATGTTTTTTACTTTACCAACTGGCAAATGTAGTTTGACAAGGACGAAAAATGCAGTGCTGCCAAAGTTTTTTTTTAAACATTTTAACCAGTTCGCCAGAATACCAAATTCAATTTCGGATGTTAAAAAAAATAACAAAATTTACTTTACCGGTAACAGTAAGAATATGCTTGTATAAGTTTACATCAGAAATGTTAATGTTAACTCATTGACAGATAATGTTAACTCATTAACAGATAAAGCTAAATCGTTAACAGATAATGTTAATTTTAAATTAAATTCCTGATCCCCTTCGAAACAAAAATACTTAAAATGAATTCTTTTAAGTTGTCTATGTGCAACGCGTTCGCCAAAAACCACGAAGTAGAAAGAGTTCCGGGACTTGCGGCATTAACGGAATACACATGGTGTATAAATAGTTAAATCTCGGAGGAATGAAATTTGACGAAGATTCAACGTAGAGTGAAAAACCGATCATATTTTGGACTGTAAAATTTTCAAACGAAGAATGTTGCTCCATACAACTGAGTTCTTCGAGTAAAATGAAAAGGAAATAAATTGTATTTTTTGCCTGATTATTTATGAAACATTGTAGCAAAATTTGTTTTGTCAAAATGCTTGATTTTTCTGTACGGGTATTACAAAGACAAAGAAAATTCTCAGTAGACCATACCAATGTCATCGTTGAGTTGTTGATAAACTTGCGTAACCGATCTAATTTTATAGGCGCATTCAAAATGCCTAGTCATCGATAGGGTCGTTGGAGAAAATATAACCAAATTCGAACAAAAAATTTCAATCAAATGATGTTAAAAATCGGCTTATTGTTGTTGTAACCGCAAAAATATTCCCCAAAGAATTTTTTGGGGAATGTTGCGGGTATAAAGACCCGGCTGTCGCGGGAACTATTGGATTTTAGACGCCTCTTACGACAGGCATGCCTTACCGCGGGTAAATTCTTGAACCCCTAACCCGCAGGCCGCAGGGGGAAATTGGTGGGTACTCTATGCTGTAATTGTGGTCAAGCATTACTAGAAAAATATCAATCAGATCAGTCTTGAGAGGTCGGATTCACTTAGTCATGGCTTAGATCCATTGTCATACCACAAAAACTTAAACCATCAGGTTTCATCCTCCATTCATTTTGATTCTCTAAGGAACCTCATTAGATCCATGACTTTGACATCAGCTGATGGAGTAGAATATTAAATTTTGGTATAAATGACAGCAGATCCATAACTACAATCCAAACACTGGCCATTAATTTTCCACACCTATTGCGCATGTTCGTACGAGAGTTGAATTTTTTATTATTGCTTTTGCAGCTGTTATTTGTTGCCATCGCTACTGGTACTGGCTTTGTTGTCTCACTGCTTGAAGTTCTTTATTATGCTTGCACATATGTATGTTGGTATCGACGTATGTATATTAACATGCACGACAAGAAGTTGTGTATATCTGTCTGGTTGTTGTATTTTTATTATCGACGGGTATGTGTTAGTAAAATTCTCTTTGTTTGGTGTCGCAATGTACAATATGGAATCACAGACAATTTTCTGAGAATCTTTTTTTGTGGTCATTGGCCTAATATGTTAAATATTGGGTCTAGTAAAAAGTAATACATTATTTTTGTATTAATTTCAAATCTTTATTTACCATAGCTAAAATTATCCGTTTTATGTCAGTTAGGCACACTTTTGCCCGGCAACTTTTTCCCCATTTCCTCTCATAGAAATTCTATTAACTACAAATTTAGACATCCGCTTTTCAGAGGTTGTCTTTGAGACCAGTTTTTCACCAGCCAAACCATTCGCCTTAGACAGGAATAAATGATAATCACTTGGTAAGCAGTGCGGACTATAAGAACCTCAAAACAAGATTTCGGAGCTTCTGGCGAGTCACTATTATTATCCCTCTTGTTGGCAAAAATCTGGGCGCTTCTTTGCGTTTCCTCCTTCCAGTTGGTACAATTTATTGACAGTGCGGGTCCGAATTAAGAGTTTGGCTTTGCTAATCTTACCAAACGAGTCGATTTTGTTACGATCCAGATGAAAATTTCGTCAACGAGGTTTTTTTTTTTTTTGTCTATAACTCATGGGCCACTGACATCGAGTTTCTCTGTGTATCCGGCCCTTTTCAAGTGGTTCCAAACTGTTTTTTGTGCAGTGTTTAGCTCGCATGATGGTAAAATTTACCGATTTCCATTATTTTATTGGCATTTTCGTTCCACACCGTAGAGCATCTTTGACATCAAACTGGAACGAAATCGACAAAACCAAAATTATTCATGATTTATTGTTACAAGATTAAATATTGGAGAGTTATGACCCACTTAAGTATGCTTCCATGTCAGAAATACTGGTTTTCCAATCTCAAGTCAGGTGAGAAATGTTAATAAAGCAAACAATTTTAACATCCCTCCATTAGAATAATCAATCAGCGAAGGATTATACATAACTGTTTGGCGATTGACTTCGAGTCGTGAAAAAATTAGTTTGAGATTTGACTTCACACTATGGAGGCCGGAGATGGTGATTTCAAGTTGCTTTAAATGCGCACATTCTTAGCATTAATTGCATTTGCTTAAGTCTTAAATTTTTTCAAAAATTCTACATTTTATATGTATGAAAATGTATGTATATTAATACCTTTACTTATTTTGAAAACTGTTGTATAATTCTTCTCATTCATGACAAACCGGTAGTCGAAAATCCGCTCATTTCGCTGACACTGGGCATTCGTTTTTTAATTCTCTTAATTTTAAGTTGTTTTCTCTCGCTCTTTTCAAATTCAGATCCTTATTTAACAAAGTTAGACCGGTTATTTTGGCCAAATCAATGCTTCTCAATATCAGTTGTACTGACCGCAGCTGCAGATTCTGTGCCAACATCTGCAAATAGATAGGCTATGAAGTATATGTACATATATATGTATTTTGATACCCATAAACATGTATATGTGTGTATGAAACACATTTTGGAGACCAATTCTGTGGAATGATTTTTTTGTTTGCTCCCAATAATGTAGGGAATGTTAGTTTCGCTTCAATTCTATGTACATATGACCATAGGTATATACATATATATTTATATGTACGTATGTGTAGGTAGCTCTAATTTCTTGATATGTATGTACATATGTACATATATCAACTATTAGTGTATGTATAGATACATACATACATATGTATATATGCATTTATATTGTAGTTGCTTTACAAATGAAGCATACATACTTTAGTACTTTCCATATTTTGTTCTTGCCATTCATCATCATCACCATCCACGGCAACAGTCCGGGAAGGCATCAAGTGCAGAGAGTACATTACAATTGCAGTGGTAAGAACGAACAGTCGGTGTTTTGCTGTCAACGTAAACGTATTCATTGTCCGCTAGTTGGTTTTCTGTGTTTCCAATTCGAATCAACTCATTTTGCCACCTAACAGGTTTGCAGAGTTTAATAATTTAGTTTATATATTTACTTTAAATTAGTATGAGTGTATTTGAAAGTCACAGCCAAGTGAGTGAGCTACGAGTTTTGCTTGATTTTTTGTAGAGTGTTTGAGTGTTCTTTTTTTTTTTCTCTAAAATTATGCATTCATAAATATAATATTAGCAGTGTTTGCCTTTTTGCTGATTTGTTATTTTGTTGTTTTCATGTTTGTTTACAATTTTGCGTTACTCGCTCTCTTATATGCGATTTTGCTGAGCTTTAGAAAATATAAACATCTGATATTTATTCATATATATATGTGTACAAGATCTGTCGCGGGGAAAACGAGACTGTTCATAAAGTGAAAATGAGCGTGCGATTTACGATGAAACTAGAATCCGACGAGTTAGCTTGTATCATGCGTCTATTTCCATTTTCATGACATTTTGACATCACACTCACCGTAAACTAAACCGAAAACCCCTCATAAAATCATATTTAAAAATTCCATTTTCTGCTTTGCCAGTTGGAAATTCCTTCTTTTTCAATGTGGACTTCACTCT